TTAGAGCCAATCAGATTACAGGCACCACCAGTGATTTCAAAATGGGTGTAATAATATTTAATAATGTTGCTTCCAGATTCCTAAAAAATGCAAATGGGGGTAGTTGTAAGACAAGAGCTAATGGTCAACAAGTTGTCAACAGCATATAGGAGATATCTTTAGCAGACATGTTTTGCTGACTTACATTGCAGTATATTAGAGATGAAGTTTTACACAAAATTGATAGGGAGAATAAATTCTGCATCATTTTAGGAGATTTTAATCTTGATTTTCTTAAACTGGATTCTCACTCAGATACAGAAGGTTTTTTAAATATTTTGGGGTCCTTCAGCTTTCAACCTCATATTTTACAACCTACTTGAATTACTGACCACTCGAAAACTCTAATTGACAACATTTTCTTCAATTCTTGGAACACCTCACATTAAGTGGGAATATTGTTTATGATGTTACTGATCACTTACCTAATTTTCTTATTATTCAAAAATTCACCTCTTTACCTATCAATGTAAAAAATTGCAAGCAGTTTGGCTTCTGTGCAAAACACTCAACAGGTCATGCTATCCTAAGCATCATTGACTTGATTCAATGTGCAATTGACTGCTAGGAATTTTCTTGTGGTATATTTTTGGATTTCAGTAAAGCCTTTGATATTGTAAATCATAATATCATGATTGAAAAATTAGATTATTATGGCATTTGTGGTGTAACCAAAGATTAGTTCATCTCTTATCTTACCAACAGATTTCAATATGTTTCCTAGGGGCAAACTGAGTCTCAACCTCAACCTGTCTCTTGTGGTGTTCCTCCAGGCTCAGTTGTCGGCCCACTATTATTTCTTGTATATATCAATGATTTTAGTAACTGCTCTGAAATTCTAGATTTTCATTTATTTGTGGATGATGCCAATCTGGTTTACAAATACAAAAATCTTACAATCCTTGAACCCAAAGTAAACAAAGAACTTGTAAACATTCAAACTTGGTTGAGTGCTAACAAACTTTCACTTAATATTGTTAGTCAAACTTTGTCATTTTCCACCCTCCACAAAGAAAGTTACCCTTTCATATCACACTCTCTTTAAATGACATTTACTCAAACCAAGAGTACTCAATAAAACATCTAGGTATTATAATAGATTCTAATTTATCTTGGAAAAGTCAAGTAAGCTATATTGCTGAAAAGATTAAGACATTGTAAGCACTGAATTCTTATGAACCTTATCTATTCAAGTTTCCAAGAACACTACCACCAAAAAGCAGACTGCTGGAGCTTCCAATAAAACAAATAAAAAGGAGAAGAATAAAAAAGGTAAAAACTTTTGACACATCACTTAGGGCTTGTCCCAGGCTACAAAAGGAGAGCACTGAAGGCCGCTATTTGTATACTTACTTTCTCTATGCACTGACCTTTCTAGGTCCTAGTTTGTTACTTTTTTAAGAAATAATGGTCATTAATTGATTTAATACTTCAGTGGAATAAATCTTGAGATGAGTGATTTTCTTTATTCATTGCATGTGGGTTCATGAAGAAATAAAGCAATTGCAGTTTTAAGATGGAACACCAACTGACTTAGTTCAGTAATAGCATGTTGTCAAATTATTAGTGCATGATTGCCTGTTCTTGGATTTGTTCTTCATTATAAAGGAAAAGTTTGTTGGAGGTATGACATTTGAATAACAAGCACAATGTTGCCATTCTTGTGTGAAGAGCTCATTGAAAAAATCATAATAATATTATTATTGAAAATGAGAGAAACAGTTTCTTTAGTTTGTAGTTTCTGTTTTTGTTTTTTTTTTACCTAGTGTGATGTTCTGTTTTTACATTCAGCTGTGTGCCATTATTTAATTATGCTGGACTATTTTTAAGGTGCATCTGAGGAAATTCCTGCTAAAAAACCAAGAACTCAACCTATTAAAAAAAAGAATAACAAGGAAAATTCAGGGAAAGGTAACTTATTGATAAAAATAAGCATTATTATATAGTGTAGCTTCAAGTCAGATTAATTTCTTGTATACATCTAGGATCTTGTGAATATA